AGAGAAACATGTGCGCCGCTGCCTTTGTGCCAGGCGCCTGGCGCTCACCTGCCCCTGTCATGCACATTGCCATGCACAGAGCCACCGCCGCGCACTTGACGTGCTGCGTGTTGCCAACAAGGCGACGAAGCGTTGACTCTCTGCAAGAAGTCGGCAGTCGCAGGGCAGGCGGAAAGGCGTGCAGAGCCTCAGGCTGGCAAAGCTGCATGCAACTGGCAGCAGGCCATCCCGGCACATCAAGCCAAAAGCACTTTGAGCCAAGCGGCCAGTCCAGCCTGAGCACTCAAGACCTTTGCCTGGTCAACGCTTGCGCCAGGCCTCACCATGCACATGCGGCTCGACCTAGCCCACGTTGGAAAAATATCGACGCCAGACCTTGCCCACTCCTTGCTTTGCGAAACATCCACTGTGAGAGTCTTCTCCTCCAGCTGGGCAGCTACAAGGCCTGCCTGCGCCTTCAAGACTTCTTTCTCTCGTGCGTTCAGCGTCCGCCCGTAGTGGCTGTCTTGCACGCAGTCATGAATGGTGCGGTCAAAATGTGCTGCTGCAGCGAGCACGCTAGAGAAGATTGCAGACGCCAGCCCCGCCATGCCTTCTTCGTCCTCCGCCACAGCGCTCCCCGCAGCAAGTAAAAGAAACCAAACGCGTGGACGTCGAACAGGCTCAAGAAGATCTGAAGAACAGAACTGCACCTCAGGAGCAAAGGCTCGCACTGCGACAACAGTAGCTATACCCTCTCCCACAGAAAATGCGAGCTCCCAAAAGAATTTAGAAGCTTGCGTTGTTTTTTCAAGTTACGGCTGGTGTCGTCATACCCTGTCCAACAAAATTGCATAATATAGCGCAACATGCGACTGAGGCGCCACTACGAGGTGGTACTGCCCTCGCAACTTCTCTTTCATCAGCCCTTTGATTTCGTTGATCCAGGACAGACACCCCACCACGTTCTCGAGAACGGCCCACTGTGGCTGCTTTGCATCGATCGTGTCCAACACGGCATACCTTGGAATACGCGCGTTGCCCCCGCTCTAGCTCCAACGCTAAGTGACAAGCGAAAATGAAAGTGCGAACCTGCGGGCAGCCAGCCATGCGTTCCTTTAAATGCCATGTTCGAGAATGAAAAAAAGCCTAATGGCTCAAGCACGAAAGCGATAGTTATTCCTCGATGAGCCGACGCCTGACCCAAACTCATTAAAGCTCAGCCGAAGGAAAGCCCTCTGGTTTGTCACGATTGCTGGTTTCCTGCAAGCTGCGATAAGATGGTTCGACAATGGTTTGAGCAGCGGAAGCACGCCAACATCAACGTGGATACATGCCAGCATGCGTCAACAAAGGCCAAAATCAGAAAGGGGCCCGCCTATAAATCTCACTAGATGTGTGTCTACAGGCAAGGCTCAGCGGCTCTTCGCTGGCCCATGGCCGAAAACGACTGACATGGGAAGCCGGCTGCATAGCCGCCGCGCTGAAGCTGAGGCAGAGCATCTAGGTCACGGTGGCAGACATCACCATCAAGGCGCGCCATGCGTCCTTAGATGCATCGCGTGCTGCGTCGCAAGACAAAACAGGCATCACCAGCCCTTGCCGCATTCTTCTAATTGGCGACGCCATGCTTTACTTTCAGCACCAGTGTCGGTCCGACAAACAACCGAAAACAGACAGCTGAAACTGATGCCGCAACGGAGCCATTGTGCCGGAGAAAATCCAACGCTCCACTGTCAATATCGGACGCCCAGTGTTGAGTGAAGCTGACAGACATCGCCTCCAACGCCCAGACAGCGGCATCCATGCCGGAGCAATCCGTAGCAAACGGCAGGCATCCATTCCATAGGCCCCGCGACGAGGCTGTCTGTGAGGCAGGCCTTGGGCTCCTGCGCAAAGATTGCCCTTGCTGCATGAGCCATGCCTCCGACGCATGGACAGCCGCGTCGGCATACGCCTGGCCCCATGTGTGCGCCATGCTGTGCTGAGCCTTCACTGGCTCGGAGCCATCGCGACATGCACTGCAATGACAAGCACGAACTTCGTCGCACCAGGGCCCCGGCACAAACAACACTTCGTCCTGGACAGCAAGTCGACTCCGAGTAGTCGAGCCTGCGGGTTCCGAAAGCTCTGTGCGTCGTGTTATGAGCATCCCCCAGGCTCAGACATGTCATTGTCCGCGGCCAAGCTTTTTGCAGGGCCGCTGCTTGGCACACGCGACTTGGGGCAACAAAATGGCTAGCTTGTCTTCGCTGGTTACGCAAATGAGATGCGACGCCGCAGAAGAAGACACGTGGCATACATAGGGCGCAGTCACTAGCACGCGGACGTAAAATTGCGCCTGGTTTCCGCGAGGTTTCAGCTGCTCCAAAGCGCTTCTGTTCAGGGCGGACGCGCGCAGCAATAAGCTTTGTTCTTGACACGCGGGACAGCTCCTGTCTTTCTTTCTTTGCACAGTTCATACGCGGGGCTTTCATTGGGCTTGGGCTGTTGGAGCTGGTTTGTTTCAGGGTCTTTCGGAAGCGACGCTTAGCGCGGGCCTCGAAGTGCGGAGACCAAGGTGTCTTCGTCATCGCGCGTTAGGGAAGCTGAAGCACTCGCCAGCACAGCGCGCTCACGTTGTGCTAAGCACTGCCACAGCAATGTCTAGGAGCACCTCACATGTCATAGGCTTGGGCCGGGATTGTATATCTCACCAGCAAACGTCGCAGAAAAGAGCGCTGTGCATTTGCAGTCGTTGTGCCAGCAAAAAAAAGGAGCAAACCCTACAGCCCAGAACATACCCACAGTTGGTCTCTAACAACAAACCACTTCTGCGGCCCCCCAAGACCCGGCAAAAAACATCGCGCCCCAACAAGTCTAGTCCAGCGCGTGGAACGCACTTGCGATGAACATCTAGACAATGGCAGCAGCGGGCACCTTTATATGAGACGCCAGCAGCCTACGCAAGCCAACTCTACAGACATGGCAATAATGCGGCTCAAGGAGATGGTTTCCAATAGTTGCGTAAGCCTCTCCCACCTTGAATGGATGTGCTAAGCCCCCGTCAACAATAACGTGTACACATTTCCTAGCTAAGCTTGTCAGTCAGTAGCACGCCGGCAGGCTTCAATGACCTGCCCCAAGCGAGAAACCTCGCGAGCAAAATTCCCTGCGGTTTGCTTCACCTTGAAGCACTTAGCACACTTGGATGCCCTTACTTCTTTGACATGGGGGCATAGGTGCCAGGGGCTTGCAGCCCACTACTCACTAACATTCTTTGTGGTCGTCGCAGCCCTTGCGCTGAACGATCTTCAAACCGGCAGTGATCCTGGCAATGTGCCTACGACTCGAACGCTGCGCTGCCGCAGCCATGGTGAGAGGCAAAGTCAAGGCCTCCGCAACCTTGCTCGAGTCCAAAGTGTTTCACATCATGGAGCTGACTGTCTGCGGATTCCAACAGGCAGCCAGGGACGGCTACGTCACCCAGTCTGCCGCGGGTGGCTTCAACGTTCGCCGGCTGAACTTGAGCATGCCGCAGATCCCGATCAACGTTCGGATGGGCAAGCAGTTGCTGACGGTTTCGCTGGAGGATGAGAGGGCTGCTGACGATGCGACTGCCGATCGCAGCATGCCGTGGAAGTTTTGCCAGCTAGGGGACAACTGGCAGAAGCACGCGGCTGATTTGGTGGCCAAGAACATGCGCCTGCCGAAAGATCGTGAAGGTGCGAAGCAAGGCCGCATGCTGTTCCCCGACTCCACAACTGCTGCCACCCTGGGCTGGCTGGCAAGTGGCGGCGAGGAGACCACCTTCATCTGCCAGTTTTGCTGCATGGTGAACTGCTCGCGCCTGAAGTACTACCCGGGCAGTTCTTCGCCAATGACCGTGCCTTGGCGGACAGCGTCGTTCTGCAAGCGCTTGATTTTCTGCTTGCGCAGGATGGCAAGCCCCGTGTTTTTTTGTCGGCCGCAGGTTGGGGCTTGACTCGCGAGGGCCTTGTGTGTGCAGTGGGCGCAGCTTATTCGATATCTGTGTGTGTGCTGCAATGCAGCAGCAGGGCTTCAGGGCTGGGAGGTAGCCTTGGAGATAGTGTGATACTAATTAGGATATGTAATTTGCAGCACCGAGACAGACCCCTTCCCCGCAAGCACAAGGCGTGAAGCCCTTGCTAGCAGCCGCGTTGCGCTAGCTCCTGCCAAGCCAGGTCAGACTGCGCCACAGAGGTCCAACCTAAGGCGCCATGTCGCCGCAACACCAATGCCTGCAATTGCTTTTGTAATTCCATGCCACATAAAAGCTTGGCACTGCGGAGCTTAGTGCGCTGAACTGAGCCGCTTACTGTCTACGTGGCTTGTGCAAAAGAAAGCAAGAAAGACACGAACGCCCCTGGTGGTCCTGGACGGGGCTCCAAGATTTCCTTGGATTCTTGAAGCTCCTGGCGTCTTGGGATGGGGCTTGTTTTTCAACAAAGCCAAGAATGAAAAGAATTAAAAGGGATGAAAGAGAAGCAAGACAGAGCGAGAGAGAGAGAGAGAGAGAATGCCTGGATCTGGCGTTGGGCCCTGCGTCAAACCTGTTGCAGACCTGTTTCGGTGCCCCGAATCCCTCGCACAAGTATAGCGTTTCCTTGAGTTCTTGAAACTCCTATCGTCTTGGGATGGGACCTGTTTTTTTCGGCAAATCCCAGAATGAAAAGAGCTGGAAGACTAAGAGAGGAAAGGCTTGACGGCTTGCGCTAGCCCAGGGCTGCCGCAAGACATCGCGAAACTGTCTGCTTTGTGCCAAGGCGCTGTCTTTTGTCAACATGTTCATCTTCTCACGCACGTTCCTGGCCAGGGTGGCAGACGGGTTGCGCCATTTGGCGTGCTCGAAGTCCAACTCTCCTGGGCGAATGAACGAGAAGGACATGTCGGCATGCGCCCAACGTCAACTGCCCGCAACGGCATCCAAACAAAAATGGCCAGAGAGACATGCTGCTAAGGATCTCTGAAGAAGAGGGCCTGTCTGTAGGGCGAACGCTCTGGCGTCCACGTGCGGGTGCTCAAGCAAGCTCACCAAAGCCTCAGCCGCGGCAACATGGCGCGCTCACAAACAATCAGAAAAGGAAACCCAAACACACAGACTGCCAGACCTTGCCAAGCTGCCGCCATCGCATCATCGTCGATGTTCAGCCGGTGGCAAAGGTATGCCAGTGAAGGCGCCAGGCGCTGCAGGTCAGCAAACACCTTCTGCATTGCGCGCGAGGCAGTCAGGTCAGCGGTGCGCGCCCTGCAGGCACGCTCAACTGGCGTCGCCAGACAGTCAGCGTCGACGTAGCGCGCTTGTCCGCCATCAAACCTGCCAGGGACGAAGCGCAGGTTTCAAGCCTTGAATTTCAAGCCAGATGATATGGAGGGCACATGTGATAAACCGCATCGACAACTTTCAACTCAAGCCCCGCCCATCCACGTCCGGCAGCCACACGCGACACTTGTTGATGTATGCCAGTGCCAAGGCCGCCAGGCAGGAAGCACGCCTGCCACTCGAACCTTGGAATCAAAGCCACTGTGGTAAGATGGAATATCAGTCACGTGCGCGTGTCGAAGAAAAGGATGTCAAGCCCCGATGATCCCCCTGCCGTAGAAACGAACGTTTGAAATGGACAGTATCAAGTACTTGAGATCAGCCTTGTGGCAGTGCGCTTTCATTGCCAAGTACCCAAAAACACTGGTGCCCCTTGAGCCCTGAAATAATCGTTTTTTTTATGGGAAGATGGTATCTGGGGAAGCGTTGAAAAGTCATATCTTTGTGTCACCACGCATAGGCACAGGAGGGTGGTCCACCAATCATGGGGCCGACATGGCAAGGGAGGAGCAATAAACACACATCTTGGATAATCAAGGAGCCGTTGGGTCAAGGGCACGTTTCGTCATGAAACTTATCCACCCAGGTGGTCCAGATAAGCTAGTGGAGCTCCGCAACAAACAGCTCGGATCGAAAGACCGCGCGCACGCACCCGCCAACGCAGGCCAGAAGACACCAACACGCAAACAAACACATAGACCCGAACAAAACAAACACAAACACGCGCGCACGCAAACAAAAACGCACACACATAACACACACAAACACGGTGACAAACACAAACGCACAAACGACTGACAAGGACAAAAACAAACATCAAACACACAAACGCAAACACATGCCCAAAAACAAAACAGCGGCAAACACGAAAACGAACACTGAAAACCATACCATACACCACAAAAACACACAAACACACAAGCACGCAAACACGCAAACACATACACACAAGAACACACCCACACACTCACACGCACCCACGCACGCACGCAGGCACGCAGGCACGCAGGCACGCGCGCACACGCGCACGCACACGCGCACGCGCGCCACGCACACATACACTACACACGCACATGCGTGTGTGTGTCTGTTTCTGTGTCTGTGTCTGTGTCTGTGTCTGTCTCTCTGTCTGTGTCTGTGTCTGCGTCTGTATCTGTGTCTGTGTCTGTGTCTGTGTCTCTGTCTGTGTCTGTGCGTGCGTCTGCGCGTCAGTGCGTGTGTGTGTGTGTCCAGTGTGTCCAGTGTGTCCAGTGCGTGTGTGTGTGTGCGTGTGTGTGCGTGTGTGTGCGTCTGTGTCTCTGCGTGTGTGTGTGTCCTGTGTTTGTGTGTGTCCTGTGCTGTGTGTGTTTTGTGTCTGTGCGCGCGCGTCGGTGTTCCTGTGCGTTTGCACATATGGCGTCCTGTCTGCGTCTTTGTGTGTGAGCTGCGCGCGCGTGCGCGCGTGAGTGCGCGCGTGTGCGAGTGCGCGCATGTGTGCGTGTGTCCGTGTGTCTGTGTGTCTCTGTGTTTGTGTGTCTGTGGGTCTCTTTGTCTGTGTGTCTCTGTGTTTGTGCGTCTGTGTGTCCGTGTGTCCTTGTGTCCATGCGTCTCTGTGTCTGTGCGTCTGTGGGTCAGTGTGTCTGCGTGTCTGTGTGTCTGCGTGTCTGTCTGCGCGTCTGTCCGTCTGTCTGTCTGTGTGTCCGTGCGTCTGTGTGTCTTTGTGTCCGGGTGTTTGCGCGTCTGTGTGTCTGCGTGTCTGTCTGCGCGTCTGTCTGGTCTGTCTGTTTGTCTGTCTGTCTGCGTGTCTGTGTGTCTGTGCGTCTGTGTGTGTCTGTGTGTCTGTGCGTCTGTGCGTCTGTGTGTCTGCGTGTCTGTGTGTCCACACACGCGCGCGCACGCACACACAAACACACCGAGACACGATACGCACAGCATCGGCTTCTGGCAACCCGCCCTCCTTTGTCTGCCTGCCAAAGCGGCAGAAGACGCAGACTGCCAGCGACTTATCTTCGGCATACGTGGCGAAGTACTCGTCGACCTGAGGCAGAGCAGGGCGCCAAGAACTCTTGCGTGCCCGCAGCATAGGCAGCAGTTGGCAAAAGCAACCCAGCGAGAATCGAATGTCCCTTCGCCAAGCCGCCGCTTTCTGAATCATGACGATCACGGCATGCAGCTGCTCGTCCCAGAGCGCCTCCTGAACGCGAGGGTCCACGGCAGGCCGCCAGTCGCCCGAGTCCACGGCCACCAGGCCGCGTACCTGACAAACATCTGCACGAAGCGTCGCTCGAATTGACCGATGAAAGAATGCAGCCCCCTGCGATGCGAATGACGCGATGCTGCCAAGGGACGTCGTACGTCACCGTGGCCCAGCCCTCATCAGGCCGACACCAGTCTTGCAGCTCTGACAGCGCGCGCAGTGAGCTGGTCCCTTGGCAATTGGGCAACAAACTTGGCAAACATTTGTGGGCCTCGACAAAAATCTGATGTAAAAAGGGGAGTCTATGTTGCAAGCCAGGCGCAAGACTGCCCGGCAGGCGTGCTGGCACCCGCAGCGCAAACCCACAGGCGCCCACGGCGTTGCGCGGCAGACATAGCGGCAGACACAGCGGCAGACACTGAGTCTGAGCCGGAGCTAGAGGAGGGACACAGAGGCCCACATGCGCACGATCAAAGCAGATTATAGGCCCCAACTTTCTCAAATACGAGACAAGAATCTTTGAGAAAACTAATCTGCTCTCTGGTTGCCATGTTCGAGGGGGGGGAGATGGCCGTTGCAGTGTTCCCATGAACCCAGCAACGTTGAACACTGAGAAGTGCGTTGAACAAATCGACACGCTTTTGGCCCAAAAGGGCAGGCATGGTTGAGCTCTGCGCACGGATGGGGCCCCCGGCGTATCCAGGGCTTGGGCGCAGCCAAACAGCGCTGAGTGCCAAAGGGGCTGAAGCAAAAAACACAAAAAATAAAAAATGTCTCAGAGGGCAACCCAGCAACCGGGAACGTGGTAAAAAGTTCATAAAACCAATCTAACCCAGAACAGATCTATTTCTAACTCAAAGTTGGACTTGTGGGTTAAATGGAAGCCCGACCGAACCCTAAACACCAAGCCGTCCGGAACCGGATGGCTTCCCACCAAGGGCTTCCGGGAGCGCCAGGCCTTCGCCCTCCCCGCCCCCTCTCTGGGGCTTCGCACCCATGAAGTGCGGCTGCAGCCATTGGTCTACACAGATGCTGCGCGGATCCGCAGCGCGCCAGGGGCTGCTGACCTGAAGAGATGGGCATGTTCGACCTGCTGTGGGTCTGTCCCGTTTTAGATGCCCCCCCCAACAAAAAAACACATAATATGAGTGGGTTTCGTACTGGGTTTGCCGTTTCAACCAAAAAAGGGGGGACCTTTAGATGACCCCCTTTTCTTCTGAGTTTTCTTCTGGGCTTCTCTTAAACAAAAACAAAAACAAAAAGCAGGGTACCCTCAAAAACGACACACCCATGCCCATGCAAGAAGGTCAGTTGTGATTTGTGCGTCAAAATTAAACCAGACCGCTGGTGGGGTTACCCTAGGTTTGACAACCATAGCCATTTGGGTGGGTCGATCTGAGCGCAAACCGTGCGAGCCGCTGGCTTCGGTCCGGGTCTGCAAATCGCCTGTGAAATGGCAGCTTCTTCAACGGGCTTCGCCCACCTCTTTGGGCAACCCAAAACTGGGCTGCCCTCAGATCCCCTTCTAAAAGTTTAACTTGCGGGTTCAATGGAAACTACCACTATATACACTAAAAGTCTAAATAGCTAAGGGGATGGCTGGGAGCCACCAAGAAAATACGTGGGATTCTTTCGTCCATGTAACCCATGTTTCGTGAATGACACGTAAATCAACATCTGTACTGAAATGCGCAGTGGATTTCCATGGGGGAAAAATGGGCTTCCAGTTTAAAAGGGCACCCTTCCCAAACTGGACAAAACAAAAGGCAACGACGCATCACTGGACAACTGGGTGCAAGAGATCCGGGAAATTCGGGCGCATTTCTACAAAGCCGAAATCTGGTAATCCCCAAGCAGGCCTTCGAACCATGTGGCGGAAATCGCTCGTTTTACCCAACGAGCCCCCCGAGGAAGCGAAGAAGACCTTCCAGTGCACCTGGTCCGCTGTCACAAGTCTTCATTCTCGGGGCCAATGAGTAAATCTGGAAGCCCACATCTGGGGTAAGAAACACATCTGTTCAAATTGACTATCCAAAAATCAAAGATATTTTTTGGAGGAGACTCGGAGACCCTAGTTATCAAAAAAACACACAATGTAAGCCCCCCCTTGAAAAGGGAAGCGTGACTCCCCTAGCTTCTCAAACTAGGAGGTCCCCTAAAATGGTTGGCTTCTTTTTGCTTTCCCTTTTCTAAAATGCCAACTCGCTTCTTGAGTGGATTGGGCAACAAAAGTTCAAACTCTTTTTCTACCACTCAAATGGCCAAAGGAATACAGGACCTAGGGCGTGAATTCAAAGGGTGCCAGTGAAAAGAAGGAGTCTCCAAAACTTCGACTGCAACCTGGATCCCGAACAGTGAGCCAACCAGGGGAACTCCAAGGCGCGCTGACGCCCACCACGCCCACCATGGCCAACAGAACGCCCAGGTGATTCCAGCTGGACACCTCTCGAGTTGGAATCACCGAAACGCGGGGGGAAACCTTTGGTGCAAATCCCAAATGCGGGGGTTCCCTTTTCTTGGGGGCAAACCCCTGTTGCTTCGCGTAAAAAGCACTTCTTTTTTGGGGGTTTTCCTTTGGTTCCCTTCAAAACTACGCATTTTTTGGGGGTACCCTCAAGAAAGACAGACCCGCTTGGATCTCTAACAATAAGTTCAACACGTTTAAACAGGTTGGACCAACCCTGACACCCGTTGGGTGACATTCTATACCCCTAGGTTCGCTACATTACCCACTGAGAACCAGCCAGCAAACACTTGCTGATGTTCCTCTTCTGAAATGGGTATATGCCCACAATAGTGATAACAACAGTAAGAATACCCCCCCCCCCCCTCCCCCCCCCCGCCTCATGTTTGTGCGCGCCTTTTTTTTGTGTGGGGGGGCGGTCCCCCCATTTAGACTCATTCAGAGGTCACATACCCCTTTCGACCCCTATTTCAACCACTTGTTTTCTGCGCTGTCCTCAGATCCTGCGACAAGTTGAGTGGGTGAAGTTCGGACACCTAAACCAACTAAGACCCGGAAGCCTTTCCGGAACCGGATGTTGATTCACCAAGAGAGCAAGACTGATTCCCTTTGAAGGAAACCAGCAGCATGGTTTATGGGGGTCATTCCACTTCTCATTCTCATTTTTCATGGAACCAGCCAGCTACCGCCGCACCGGCGGGTTCTTCTTCCATTTGCTTAAAGCCCCCTGGAAACAAATAATTTAAAACAAATAAAATAAAAAAATCCAGTATTGATACATTCCCCTTAAAAACAACAGGTGAAAAACAAGTCTCAAGCAAATGGAAGTTTTGGGGTCGCGTTCGAAGACCACTCCGCCTGCTCCTGGAAGAAGAAGAGGCCCAAGGTGTAAGCCACCACCAGCTGAACCACCGTGGCCAAGGGCATCAGCACCTCAGCTCTGAACCGTTCCCCCGACCCCCCTGCAGGGTCCCGACGGCAAATGGTCCAAAAACCTGCCGGGGTTCATTGGTTTTACGTTGATTGGTGCGAGGGAAACCGGCTTCTCCGGGTTTTCTGATTTTTCCTTTTTGCCTGTGTGGGTGTGCTTTTTGTTGGAGCTCCAACATGGATTTCGTGTTTCCGTCTGGTTTCCCTGTAATTCTGCCGAAGAACGCGGGCGTTTTTGAGAAAAGACAGACACGCCGCCATGTTTGCTTTGGCCCAAGCGGCCAGAGCCCCAGTTGCTCCCAGGCAGCCACACTTCCATTTGCTTAAGCCCCCTGGAAAGAAACACATATATGTCCAATAGTGATAATTCCTTTTAACACCAAGGGAAAATTACACATATTCGTTTCAGCGAATGGAAGCACATGTTCACCCCACGTTTCACCAACATTCCTCGCGTTCATCGAGCGTTTTCCCGTTACGCGCCTGTGCCGCAAGGATGGGCATGGCTGGCCAAATCATCAGCCCCGCCACACCGTCGCACAGGACGCCCAGCCACCAGCGGGGCTGCCGCCAGTACTCGTTGTGTCCTGCAAGGGAGCCCCTCAGCCAATAAAGCCAATACCACGGTTCAAAAACGGGTTGAGGGTTGGAAGAACAAGGTGCCAAAGCTGCCAAAAGAGTCTTTTCGCACGGAAACGACTTTCACCTGAAAGGATCCGCAGGTTTTTTGGGCCTTCGTGGGTGAGGGCTGCTCCTGCGAACCGATTTAGTACCCTTCAGCTTTTCATCAACGAGTCATTTATCCTCCAGAAGAACTGGTTCAAATCCCCAAACCAGCAGTCCAAACCGCTAAATCAGGGGTAGCATCTTGAGGCTCGGAACCTGAAAAAACATCCAGGGGCCGACGCTGGGCGTGGTCAGGAGGGCGGTTTCGGGATACTTCTTCGGCCCAATGTGTCGTTTCGTCCAAAACCCCGCAAGGGTGATATCAATATTCAGACCCCCCCCCCCCAGGTTTTGGACCATCCATATTTAATCTTCATGTGCTTAAGTCCACTGGGAGAAAAATATATATCCAGCAGTGCTAGATTCCCTTTCAAGCCGCCAGATACAAATACCACGTATTCTTAAGAACATGGAAACAAATGCGGGCCCTTGTGCGACAAGTCTCTTTAGACCGCGTGGCATGTGACTCGCTGTCGCATCCGGCACCTTCCCAGGGGGTCCTTTGAAAAAAGCGCACAGTGTCTGTCGATAAAGAAGGAGAAGGCCCCAAGAACAGACACACGGACTTGTTTGTTTGAGGGCTTCCAGTTCGAAATGGCAACCACCTGGTGGTTTTGAAGGTCAAATAGACGGCCGATTCATTTGGCGGGTCCAAAATCACAAAACACAACACCCCGCGGAGGATCGGAATCTTGCGAGCCCATGCAGCATACCGAGCCCAACTCTGACGACTCCGAAAGGTGGGTCAAGTGGCAGCTGGTTGTACTTTGGGGTCTTTGGTCCCACGAATGGTTCTTTCGGTTAAACCAAAGAGGACCAAACCAAGTTATGGCATGGCCAGTCACAAACAGCGCATACCACCTGAAGCTACAATTGGCAGCGTGTATCTGGCTTTTTCTCACACCAAGAGGTGCTTATGTTTAAACCCTGTGCTGACTTTTTACTACTCACTATTCCCATCATGGGCAAATGACGCAAACATGCCAGTCTGGAAATCAGGGAACCTCTATCACAGGACTTTCATCAGGGGTCAGCTCATTTTACAGGGATCCTTACATTATACACTTGAACATTGCTTTGTAAATGGTGGTTTCCCTTTGTTTTGGCGGAAAAAGCCGTGTTTCAAATGGGCAACATGTATCTTTCAAGGAGCCGTTGTACTACCTGAGCTTGCGAACTAATTTGCCCATACCCCATTGACCTACGCTGAGCACGTCGCATCTCCTTCGCCAAAAAGCTTCCGCAAAGCCTTGGCCGGGCACGAGTTATCAGGACTCATGGTTCAGCCAGCCCTCATCAGCTGCTTGTCTTGACACAGATGCCAGGTACCTTGTCACAGATGCTTTGTGGGAGGAAGGGAACCTATAGTGGTTGGAAGCTGGGATCTGGGCATTCTCCAACACTGGGGGTTGCCTAGGTCCTCCAGTAAAGAGATTAGAAGAAGTTGGTACCCGTTTTTTGTTGTTTCTGTAGTCTATTTTAGGGGACTCCCCGCCCCCCAACAATTTTGGTAAATGGGCACTACTGGGGCACCTAGACCATACTTAGTCCACCCGAAACCCCAGCGCTCCATTGATGCCATGCTGGTCAAGTTTTGGTGGGATATGTCATAAACCCCTCAAAGCGCGGGGTGCCAAAGACTCCGCGGGTATGGCTGGACACCCCCAAACGTCAACAACTCAACGACCATTTGGAGTCTTAGAGGCGCAAATACTGAAAGGCCAACCATGCCTGTGTGTGTGTGTGGGTGTGTCTGTGGTGCGCGTGCGTCTTGTCTTTAGGGTGGGTTGCTAAGGGAAACCAAAGGGAAACCAATGCATTTCTACTTTCAAAGACGTTTGTGCGTGAGAGCCGCCTGTATCCACCCCTTCTGGCGCGGCGTTCGAAACATCCTGAACCGATGGTGCCAACTGCATGGATCACCCCCAATTTTCACCGGCAACCCGAGTGAGGCAAGACTCCTTGTGGTTTCCCTCCAAAGCACCGCGTGCAAAGGCGGGGGGATGGAATGCGAGATTCCCCTCACAAACGACACCCTCAATATAAATTGCCTCCAGCTGCGAACACGTGAGCCAACATTCTATGGGTTGGGGGGAAAATGCCCAATCCCCAAAAGTTAAAGGCTCACTTCATGAGATGGGCCCAAAGGTTCCACTTTTGCTGTTTACCACGTCAAGGAGCCAAGCCCAAAAAGGACAAAGTCCAGGAACTCAGTGAGTGAGTCCAAGATCTAAGCGGGATTTGATCATCTTTAGGAAACGGAGAAACCCTGCCTCCTTTGCCCACTTGGCCCACAAAATTTGGGCTACTCCGAAACTTGTTCTTGTTTCATATCTCGCCTCGTTCTAAACATAGTCAATCGCTTGGAGACCTAAGGCTGTGGTTTTCTGATGCCAGCTTGGTTTAAAGGGAAAGCAAAAGGAAAGCACCCATTTGTTGGGCCCCCTTTTTGATACGCAAAAAAGCAAAAAAACATGTATATGTATGTGTATGTATGTAGAGGTACGTGTGCAAATACATATAGAGACAAATATATATATATATATATGTATATGGACACATAAACATGTGTATAGTATATTATGCGCATGTGTATGTATCTGTATGTAGCTAGATATAGCACCCGCCGCCCCCAACCGCCCCAAACGCGCCGACCGTCGCGCTGCGAGTGGCCATGGCCACGCCATGCAGCGTGCCCCCCGCCAGCACCAGGCAGAAGCTCAGCGCCAGGGCCGCCGGCTCCGAGCCGAAGGAGGTGCCTCCGGTGTGGCGATGTGGCGAGTGCGGTGGGGGAGGTAGGCGGAAAGGAAGCCTTGGGGGAAGGGAAACCAGAGGGAAATCAATTTAATTATATTTATTTTAACTCAAGAACACATCATCTCCAGAGAGGTTAGAAAAAGGGTGCCAACTTTTTGTCTGGTAGGTCTAGTTTAGTAGGGGGACCCTCCCCCAAAAAAGTTGGTAAAAGGGCACTTTTGGGGGGTGAAGCCCCTTTTAAAGAGGGCACCCCTTCTGAAAGATCAAAGGGAAACTCGGTGGCTTTCTGCTCCCCTGCTCAAAGTGAATAACTTTTGGTGTTTAATGGGAACCCCATTAGTTGGCAAAAAGTTGAAGTCCTAACATCCAAGCAAAATGCACCAAAGGAACCCAGAAGGAACAAATTCTCATTCTGGGGGTAAAGCCAAAGAGACGAAAGGAACTGGAGGGTGGGAACCAAAAAGACAGATCCATGTGGGTCAAAAATTGGTACGAATCATGGGTTGCCCTAAATGGACGAGGGAATTTGAGGGTTGATCAATACTACCCCAGTTGCAACCAGAGGGTTCCGCCCATGTTTTTTTAATACTTTCTTTTTTGGGGAAGGGTTCCCCTTCGAAGTCAACCAAGAACAGGTGCCAAATTTTGTTCCCATGGCCACTCGGCATCCGAGCTCCATTCGGCACCCAAATGACCATGCGTAACTTTTCCCATGTTGGAAATATCATCTTAAATCACCAAATGCGAAAATGCCCCTACGGTTCCCTTCCTTACAAGCATTATGTGAGTGCTCTCTCCCCCCCCCCCAACCACGCGGCACTGGGACAGCGTGTTTCCTCCATCCTTCAAATGAACGAAACCAACCAAACCAACAACCAAACAGAACATCGGTGTTTGTTTCTACTAAACTGCGTGGGGGTTGGGTCGACTGAATTCCCCAGTGGTCTTGTGGCTTGCCTTTCAAACCACGCCAAGCTTCGAGGACCTGCTTTGAACATGTTGTCCTGCTGAAATGTGCACGTCGAAATGCTCAAAGGGACACCAGTATATTCCACACCGTGTATTCAGCCTCACTCCAATTGGTTTAGATTGTTGGTTTCGAGGTTGTATTGGTGGTTTCCCGTTTACCCTCATTCTTGAACCAGCGGTTCAAATCCAAATCCAAACAAACCGGGCTCCAAACAGATCCAAACAGCCAATTGGGGGCTACTATGGAGAAAAAGGTCCGACCATCCTCGATGTGTGAAAAAAATCCCACGAGCCATGGCTTTCCTAAAGTTGGACATGGGGAAAATTTTCGGGGTGCCTGATGAGTCAGCACCGCCCCGATCCCGTCATCCGCCGTTTTTCGGGGATCGAAAGGATCCAAGCCACCCCCGATCTTTGCAAAGGTCGAAATTGGCCCAGAAAAAAAAAGGAAGACAAATCAGCACGGACAATGTCATAGACTATGCAAAGGGTTCCAATTGGTGGCTCGTCTGTTTTGATGGTACCCTTTCTGGCGGGGTGTCTTAAACTAGTGATGGTTGACCTTGGAAGGGGGGCAACAATCTAAATTTGAGCACTTAAGTAGTTGGATGTCAACCACCAAACCACCAAGCAACAATGTCAACTGTTTCCAACAACAGCCATGAAATTAGGGATGTCTTCAGGTCTGTGGCTTCCAAGTTTGCTGAACTATCATCCTTTTGTCTCAGTTTTTGGGGGCTTCCCCTTTTTTGACACTCTGTACCACACCCGTTTTGTTTAGGCCTCCCTCTACTTCCTAACAACAACCATGCTAGGGACGGGGCACCCGAAGCCCTTGCCACGGCGACCCCCTCGCTCTGCCCCGGCCTGCCACCGGGCTCAGAAGAAACTGCAGCAGCGGAGCCGGCGCCTGTCTGCGGAAATTCGGAGCTCGGTGTCCAGCATTAAAGCACGTGGTTGGGTTACTACAACCACCTAGGTCCTCCAGTAGAGAGGTTAGAACAACGGTACCAACTTTTTTCTGTAGTCAATTTTAGTAGGGAAACCCCAAAAAAGGGTAAAAGGGCACTACTGAGGGACCCAACCACCATTTATTTAATGAGTGTCATCATCTGAATGTGGTCCAAGTATGGAGGGGTCATCTCATACAACCACCATTTATGTAAGGATTCCTCATCATCTAAATTGGGTCCTTTGCCGTTTTTATAAAATCCGGGTTGAAGCCCGGGATTGTTGTTTTTTTGGGGGTTGCTCCTTTGCTCCCGCTTCACTTCTTGGTCCTGGCTCCTTAGACTATCGCGAAACACATCCAGGTTCAGGCTACAGTCACATGTCCCCACGTCAAAAGTTGATCACTTTGATTACCGGTGTTCATCGGCTTTTGGAGGTTGCACAACGGCAAGGAACGGTTTGGACATGCTCTTTTTGGGAGGCTTTTTGGGGAACTGCCTCTCTGGCTTTGGGAAACAACCTAACCAGGTCCGGACCCTCCAAATTCCAAATGGTGTTCCTTTTGCTTCCTTCTAAATTAACTGAACAAGGGATTCCTCAAACAGATCCCACACAAACAGACCCATATCAACCATCTGCAAACTCTACTGAACTAAGTAAGACTTGGATCCCAAGTAAAGGACGCAACCTGGTTTCACCCCCAAGTCTTCGCTCACAGGCAGAATCATCTCTCACCCCTCCACTCCCCGCAGCCCACTCCCTGCCTCGTAGCCATTAGAACCATGCGCCTCACAGCAAAAGGGCCCAAACCGGGGCTCAATACAACGCCTCCCAGCATGGATCTCCAACCCATCTTTTGTCGACCTTACAGGGAACTCCCAAGAAAACAAGGGCACCACTATTGGTTCATGGGTGTCCCATTTTGGAGGCCGTCATGTTTCGCTTAGGAATCTTTACATTGGTCCTGAAGACAGAGGATTGTGAGCATATCTCAACCAACCACAAGCGGAACTTGGTGTTTTGACCCTGACATGTATCCACGACATGATGCCTACGCCGCAAATTGGCCAATAGGGAGTCTCAAATGGCACGTGGGAACCTAAGGTGGCCTTTTTCTCTCGTAGTGCCCATTGGGGGCAAACGGTCGTGCAGAAGGTGAAATGGCACACCCTGAAAGAGGAGCCCAAGAGCAATGGGCTGCCCCAATAAAAATGAAACATGGCTCCGGAACCCATGTTTTTCATTGCTGGGTCACCGTCTCCTTGCTTTTGTCGGGACATTTGGAGCTCGACCCAACAAGACCCGTGTAAGATAGTTTCCCCAAGGTACCGCAGGGGTTTCATGGGATGTGCGGCCGCTATAGCCATATTCAAAGAGTAGATTCCCCATGATAGGTTTTGCCTTGTATGACTTGATTCGGTCGTCCGGAACCTAGAAGCGTGCCAAGAACTCCTACATGCTTGGGTTCAAAACTGCCCAGACGCAGTTTGTGTTTTTTGTGCGGCTCGATGGGTTGACCGATGCCCCGAGTCGATTGCGGATGCGGAGGTCGCCTGCGTGCTGCTGCTTTGTGCCCTGGGCCGCGTGTGGATTCATCGATCGATCGATCCATCGATCCGTGGCCTGGGGGGTATGCCAGGTGTAAGCATATGCTCACTATAGCTGCGTGGATTGGCAAAAGCAAAGTCTACTTCTTGAGTGGAGTGGGCAAAAACGTTATATGAACTGTGTGTTCACCACTAAACTTGCCTTCCCAAGTTAACATTCTAGGAACTCAGAGCACGGTATGGTTGTTTGGGGAAGCCCCGAAGTAAGCTATGTCCTTTGTGGCTTGTCTTGAAAACACTCCGACACATCTTTCAGCCTGAACCTGTAAACCTGCTTAAACATCTATGGGTGTCTTTTTTTGGGAGGCCCCTTAACACCACACAAAGGGGTAATGACAAAAAAGCAGTCGCCCATATTATAACAATCAAATGAGGCCCATGGTCGTAAAATGGCGTCCGGTTTGGGGTAAAGGCTTAAACCCGGGGAGGTGTCTTCAAAGGACCCCCAAATGGCGTCAGCTTTCCTTTTGCTTTGGGTCCCAAAGAGAACGGGAGACTTGACCAATCCGGCAATCAGTTTCTGCGAATCGCAACTCCAGTCCGGAAACATGAAACTGGAACGGGGTAGCCTCCAAATTGAGACACCAGGGGGAAATCACCCATCGGGTTTCGGTCTACCTGTGATCAAAAACTGGAGAGGGGACAATTCGGCGTGCTCATCCTCCGCAAACCAAAGCTACTGTCGTCCCGGATCAATCACCCTGCCAGATATATCAACCATGGTGTTCGCTTAATTTGGTGTCCTTTGCGCAAACACACATCTCGCTGGCAAATGCTAAGAACCAAAGTGAAACTCGTGCAATCTGTCTTGTCGAAGCCAACTCACTTTTCTGGACACTTGCCAGGTGTCAAGGGGCGGCAAAATGTGACATCAAGCATCCCCTGGCAACCCTTCCGATTCGATCGGGGCCCCAACCCCGGAACACCTCTGTTTTTGATGCCCGGCTCAGCCTTAAGCCGCGTTCCCTCGATTGACATACCAAACTTGCGATCGGTTCAAGAGGCGCAGGGAATTTCGAAACAGAACGCCGCAGAACCCAACCATCCCCGATTTGGTTTCCTTTAAGGAAATCCCTAGGTCATTCCCTACTGAGCACCAGCAAGCAAAAACACCTCCTCAAAGAGGGAAGTAGGGCTTACACAAGGAATAAGGATGCGCCACCGTGTTTCCGAGGCACGACAACTGAAGCAAGCTCGGCGCAATGGGGCAGCTCATGGCGTCATCTCGACCGGAGTCAGAAGGGCCCGGAGCTCACACACCGTGCAGGCCCCTTTCAAGTGCTCCTTAAAAAGCTTCTTCGCAACCAGACAAGTCCCAACTTGGCCAAGGCTCTTACATCAACTTCCGGCAACTTCTGCGTCAAAGGAGTGAGAAGAGCTTTAACGTCGGCGGAAAGCTTTCGAAACTCTGACTACTCACCTATCATGACAGCTGCAAGCCCTGGGTGGACAAGAGGCCCGTGGTTTTTCCGGGCGACATGGATGTAAGGTGAGGCTAAAATGGCAGCTGCTCCTTTGCGTCAGCGGATCCAACCTCCCGCAACTCCTTTGTTGAGGCCTGAATGGCAGACTGTCAGGCTCTGTCTCGCATTTAGCCAACATAAAAAGAAATGAAACACCATCAGAGGTGACTGGGCTTGGAAAACAGGGTGAGCGGGGGGCTGGAAGTGGACCCTGTGAAAGCGGGCGTGAGCGAGAGGACATGGAGAACTTCGTGAGTCGCCTGCTTCTTCTGATCGGAAGTTACATGGATCCCCCCCCTTCTCGCCCCTCAAAGGATCATGGCAAGTTTGACCGCACCGGAAGTGTCAATCAAAATCGCTTGACCTGGGGGGGGGGGGGGAATATTTAAATTTGAGCAGCAGCAAGTGGTTGGAGTTCAACCACTAAACCGCAATAAGCAAAAAAAGTAAAGCATGTCTCCCAACAACCAGGAAATTGGGGATGTCTTCTGGTCTGTGGCTTCAAAGTTTGTTGAAGATCATCCTTTGGTCTCAGTTTTTGGAATCTTCCTCTCTCTTTTTTTTGACACTCCGTACCCCGAAAATTTGTGGCGAAAGCCGAAATCCGAACTCCAAAACATGATCTTCGGAACGCCAGGCGTTCGCATCTCGGGAACCTGACAGGACTCCTCGAATCAGGTGCTTGGCTTTCTCAAGCTGTGTCGGCCTTTGGGTTTTTAGGTGGGGATGGGTTTGCAAAGGAACCAACAAGGAGACCCACCAACTCTTCCAGTTGCTTCACACCCCTGGCAAAAACATAGTTCCAGTAGTTCCAGATGCTAACCATGGTTCTTTGCAACAACCGGCCGTGTTCCCTGGGTTTCCGGAGGTTTTCTAGCAAGAAGGATCCCTGCAAAGAATGGTTGGAAGGTACCCCTAGAGTAGTGACAGGTTCCCTCTACAACCAACAAGGGAAAATCAACCATATTCTTAAGCACATGGAACAATCGAACAAATGAACCTTTTTGGCACAAGCCATGGTCAAAACCTGTCTTGGAATGGGCAGGGGATTGATTGTTTCGCTCGTTTCCTCGGGCTTCTACGATCCGAGAGGCACTCTTCCGAGAGGCTAAGCTAAAAGGCTGTCCTTTTGGGGCCATGACACAAATTGGGGCCAAAAAGGGAAACACCAAAAGTTCACACAGGTCGATTCTATAGTTGGGTGTCTTTCACTAGGAGACTCCTATGGGCTTCGGTTTGCCTTCTTGCTTGCCGCGATTGGAGATTTGAGTTTTTCGACACGTTGGGTCTTCGAAGATTCGAAGCGGAAATCTTGCAGTAAAGAGAAGTACACAGAAAATCTCAGGTTCAGACTCTGCGTCATACTTCGTCTAAGTCCAACTACAAACTCGTTTTGACCCCAGAGAAACCTGGGGTCAAGAAGTTCTCCGCGGAAAGTAGCAACTCCCAGAAGTCTAGGGGATGCTTCTTTCTAGAAAGCCACCAAAGACCCTGGGGGAACGGGCTGGTTTTTGCCAAAGAAGGATGGCTGAAAAGAATGGAAAAGGAATCAACCCGAGAAAGGTCCTCGCATCTGCGTCGGTGTCGAAGATATTCTCGAAGATCTTGGGCATGAAGATGGGCCACGCGCTCTCCGAGTGCTCCTTCCTTAAGAACGACGGGGCCCGTGGATAATTGGCGGCTTCGGGCGGCCAACGTCCGATCCAGTGGATTAACCATGGCAAGAAAGAGGTACCCCTTGATGGTTTGGATTGGTGCTTTGGATCTGAACCACTGATTCAGGGTAAGTAGAAAACCAAGAGAACCAGCCCCTACCAAACCACCAAAGCAAACCACCAAAGCAAGCCACAAATTATAGGGAACCCCACTATGGTCCCTCCGCCGTGTCAAGTGGAACTCACTTTGGGGTTGATTTCAGGGGACCAAACAGCCGCCCTTGGGGGGTTTCCCTAAGGCGACCGGGGGTTGCTTGAGGTCGCGACACACAATGGAGGCACAAATGCAGCTTCTGTTTGGGTTGTGCATTCTTGTCCAAAGAATGATAGAGCCCCAGCCTTGAAAGAGCCTTTCAAGGGGATCGAGCCAATCAGCTCCCAAACACCTGAATTGCTTTGCAAATTTGGACCTGGGCCCAAGGAAGAAGAAAAAAACATGCTTGGACTCAAAGAGAAGCTGGTTCAAGCCTGTGAAATCGATGACCCGCTTCGGGGATGAGCCTGTGCGTGTGCGTGTGGGTGTGTTGGTTGCGTTTGTTGTCTACCCGCCATCCCCTGCTTGACAAGTTAGATGCTTGTATGTGGACTTTGAACGGATTTGTGACATCCCCACCACGTGCGTTCCTTCAAGTTGGGAGATGAAATCTCGGCGTCCCCTGATACACAGGCCCCAACCTGGGCCCCTCGTCTGGGCATCCAGATGGGGCATCTGCAGTCTTCAGTGCGTAGTTGGTCAGCAGCGCCGTCTCGAATTTTGTGGACGGAGCGTGGTGCTCCTTCCTGTATAAGTTGGACGCCACGGCAAGCTGTGCCGCGATTCACGCTCTCCGCGTCGTCGACTCTGGCAGCCGGCTGCCCAAGGGGACTGCTCCTTGGTCCCTAACTTCTCGGTGCCCTGCCACGAGCTCTGACGCCAAACCCAGTCGCTCTCAAAAAGGTGCTGCAGCGCATGTGGGCTTGCTTCAAAATGGACCCTCCGAAACGGCATGGCGGGTTTCCTTTCGGGTTGCCAAAAGAGGGCTTCCCCAAAAAACACCGCAGTCAGGCAAAGGGTTTTGGAAGATCACATAATTTTGAATCTTGCCGGAAAGGAGGCCAGTGTGGTCCATCCAGGGTGTTGCAACCCTGATCCTCAATACTGTCAAGCACACGGAGAAATATACCTCCCTCAGTCTCCTAAAGATCCTGAAATTATTCAACCCCAAGCTGTGATTGGCAAATGTCCCAGAGTTTCAACCACAACTGAGTCATAATCAAAATCCGGTACTGAAATAGTCTACCCAGAACCATGGCTTCAAGTCAATCAGGCGGCCTTCAGGTACCCATTTATGGCACCCTTTGGGGCTCAGTGGCTCACCCGGCCGCATTTCTTTCGTGGGCATTGAACATCTAGTGTGCGTGTTTTTCCATCTATGGAGCTTCAGATCTATGGAACTTCACCCCAAAAACGACCCGAACCCCCTAAAGTGCCTTTTTTTTGCAGCTGGGGAGTGTACACCGATTTTGCATGGAGAACTCTGTCAAATGTGGAAACCTCCTTTCGCGGGATTCAGCTTCCACGCTGGTTTCCCTTTCATTAAAACTAGCCCTGCCGTATGGAACCTGAATGAAGTCCCCTATCGTATTTCCCGCCCCCCCCCCCCAAAAAAAAAAAGAAAAGAAAGAAGAGAGGTTCCTTTTCAAACGAATTCAATTTCATTCTCGTCTTCCTTGTCCTGTGTGGTGTCCTTTTCTTAGTCGTTGGCCCCCTAGTGACGCTTTTAGTGATGCCAATCCTTCTGAACTCCAGTCTTGAAGTCGGCTGGGGGCCGCCAAGCTTTGGTTTCTTTTCCGTGGGGAAACACACGCACATGTTTAACCAGGTGACAGTTTCAAGATTCCCAGCCACGTTGTGATTTGGGCTTTTGCGAGAATTGTGTACTCAAAACACAAGACCCCCCCTATGGCTATGAGTCGCGAGGAATACCCTCCAAATGGTTGGTGACAAATTTAAATCCCCATATTTTTTTGGTCCGTAGAGCTCCGGTCCCATGTTTTTCACAGGTGACTCCAACTTGGAAAATCCTTCATTGGAGACAAACCAAAATCCCCGTCCATGGACCGTTAGAATACACGCTCATGTCTTCTTTTCTTCGTTTCTTCCATGTCCAGTAGCGAAATCGATTCCCTTGAACACCAACAAGGGAAAATCAGAATTAAAAAGGGAAAACAACATACATATGTCCAGTAGTAAAATCGAATCCTTTAAAACCAACAAGGGGGGAAGACACTCAGTAGACTTTCGCGTCCAACCACGGCGGTTTCGAAGGTCCCGTGGCGTAAGGCTTGGCGCCAGGCAGGTGCTCCAGCAGATCGCAGACCAGGTAGAGCCCCAGCACCTGACGAAGACCGCACGAGGTCCAAGCAACCAGGTCTAAGGTCCTCCAGAGAGCTGAGAATAAGGGTAAAAGTAGTCTATTTGGGTGTGGCTCAGAATTGAAAAGCTGGGGTTACGCAGGTTTTGGTCTTTGTTTCCACACACCAAGGTGCCATTTTGGTCATTTTGCAGGTCCTCCTTTTTCCTTTTTGTCTATTTTAGTAGGGGAACCCTCCCAACCAAGAAAGTTGAAAGGGCACTACTGGGGCACCTAGAGGGGCACTCCGAACAACGGGAAAAACCTGTGCTGATTCTGCTTCATGGGGAAAACGGAGCGTATGAATCCGGGGTGGAGTAAGCAAATTCGAGCTATTTTGGGGGGAGGTCCTCGAGCTTTCCGGAGTATCTGAAGTTAACTTTGAAGGAAACCCAGAGGGGCAACAGGGCAACCAGGAACTGTAATGGCACTTGTAGCTCTGAAGTAACAATGGGGCAGTCAGCCGCCGTTCTGTGCGGGGAAAAAAAAAAACATGAGACTTGCTGCTTGTTTTCATTGGGCTCCAAGAGAAACTATGCGCCCCGGAAGATTCGGGGCTCTAAAAATAGCGGGGTCACCAGAATGAAACGTTTTCCCCTTTCTGGCCAGCGCAGCGCTGCACTGCAGAGCGTTTACAGCGACCCC